TTTCCTAAACTAGTTAGGAAATCACTGCTGACAGGGCTTGTTGCAGCTTTGTAATTACCCACATCACTATCTCTCTATCTTTATTCATATTCCTATTGCCAAGTGCTTCTCTTCAGCTGCTTTTAGGATTTCCCTCTGTTAATGAAAATGCAGCCTGTCTGAGCACCCGGTAGTGTAAGGAACACACATGAGAGGCTTGCAAAGCTGGCAATGGCTCCTTTTCAAGGTTCCTCACCCTAGAATTTCTCTCAGCAACGGCAAAGGAATTCTGTTTCACCGGACCACTGTAAAACACTGGGCAGCAGAGACCTTTGGATGATTGAGTGCAGCCGTTCTCGTGACCTTGTGCACCGTGATGGGAAAGCAGGAAGGCCGAGCGCCCTGACAGCATGATTTGTTGCTTCTGCCCTGACACTGCTGATGGCTCCTGCTAGGACAGGTGGCTCTTCTGTCTTGGCTGTAGCCGGCAGCTAACTCTTCTCTCACTGGAAGCAGCAGCAGTAAGGCCAGCTCTTGGTTGCCTGCAGGAAACAGGACCACGGCCATGAGCTGCCCCTAGAAATGTGTCACAGCTCCTTATTTTACCTGTGCCTCAAGCCAGCCTAGATGGACGACAATGTTCAGACTACAACCAATTGAACACTTCTCTCCAAACTCTCCACGCACCATCCTGTACAGTCACAAAGAAATAGCAATGTCCATGAATCTAGATTTTGCTGGAAAAAAATGCTGTATATGCATTTATGAAGGTTTGTGACAGTCACAAAGCTTTTGCAGTTTAAAAGCAAGCGATGATTGCAGCTACCAATGATCTATTATTAGCCAGTGCTGGAGAAATACAAGGAGACCTTTGTCCTTGTGCAAGAGAGAACCCCAACTAATGTGCAGAAAAGGTCTTTTCAGGACAGTCTGAAAGGGACCAGCTTTTGCTCAAGCAGGTGTTTCTGCTGCTTACGCAAGGGAAAGAAGGGCAAAAGGGAATGTCAATAACTGTTTGATCAGCAACATAAGTACATAGACCTCTGCAAAGAATAATATCCTAATAGAGAGCTTGGTGTTTTCCTGTGACACTGAGGAGAGCGTCTGGGTTTCTGTCGAATGTACAGTGAGCTGAAATGTACCAAAGTAAAAATCCATCAGTGGCCTCCAAGTGACCAGCATTTGGGCATGCCTATTAAATGCAGACACCACTTTTGACTCCGGAGCCAGATCTCTGAGCCACAGACTTCACGAGCCACAGACCTCTTGGGACAGTATGGCAGGGAAAGGTATCACCCTGTGCTAGCTCTGCCCAAAAGCATTTACCAAAGGCCAGCTCTGGAGGCTGCTGAGCTAGATGAACCTTTGGACTGACCTGGCATTGTTATTCACAGGTTGCCCAGAGAGGCTGTGGAGTCTCCTTCCCTGGAGATATTCGGAAGCTGTCTGGACACAATCCTTGGGTAATGCGCTCTAGGTGACCCTGCCTGAGCAGGGCGGCGTTGGACTAGACGATCTCCAGAGGTCCCTTCCACCCGAACCACTCTGCGATTCTGTGATTCTTACGACTTTTGACAGGGAACCTTTAGCCAACCTTAAACTCGCCCAGAAATTGCAGCAGCTGTGTCTGGGGAATAAAATTTACTGCTTAGGTTGTAGCTGCCTAATAACCTACATACTGTAGAAGCAAAGCCTCTTGATGAATGAATAAGCATTAAGCCATATTCGTATCAGATTTCAACACACATCAGTAGCCGAATTCTCGTTATTATGCTCCCACCACCACATACAAATGAAACCCTTTATCCAATACAAAGGGAAAAGATTTGGAGAGCATGATTATAGATGATTGCTACAGATGTTGTATAACATAAAAACTAAGTCCTATATTATAGAGGATACATTATATATGGCAAGATCTAAGGACATGTGGATTCTGTAGATTGTAGGTAGTGGTCTTGCACAAAGGAGGATGCTAACTCTCCCTTAACTACGAAATGCCACAGCTGAAGAAAAGCAAGCCATACGCATATTTGACTGGCAGCATTCCCAAAACCACAGCTTGGTCTAATCAGACCCTGACTCCAACAAAGTACTGACAGCTCTTTACAGTTAGAACTATTTCTACTCCATCTTTCGATTTTCTTTCTCTCATAATAACTTTAAAATATACAAAAATAATGATTAAAACAACTAATTACAAGCAGGAAATAGAACTGTTTTATTTTCTTTTTCTAAAATATATTTGAGCTAAATATATTTCATGTACTTACAAATATTTGAATAAATATGTGAATTAGAGGGCTGATATATTTCCCCAGAAAACATTTTCCAAAAATATCACTTCTGAGGAAAGACTAATCCTAGGCAGTAACTACCTACAAAAATACAGATATATAGGCCTAAATAGCTGTCTTGACTTTTTTCTTAAATCGTTGTTGCTACACTCAGATTAATCTAGTCTTTAAAACTTTTTGTTCCTAACTATATTGCACCTGAATCCTGTCTGACTTTCATTTTTTTTCATTTCATCATATCTGTATAAGGTAATAGATGGCTCAGGCGAAAGGCAAGAGTATGAATTCAGTTCGATGGAGACCACTACATGCACTAGGGCATAGTAGGCAGTAGAGAGATGCTGTGAAGAGCATGCTGAGTGTATGCTGTATTGAATGAACTCAGTAGGAGCTGCTGCGGAATTCAGGATCTCCCTGACCGCGAGAGGGCAAAGCCGTGAGTTTAGAGAAGGATTTTATCACATCCCAGAGCAAGACAGCAGGTACAGTCTTGTATGCTGCACAGAGGACTATGACAACCTGACTTAAAGAATCAGTCCTGGAAGTCACACAGAAAACTCTTCCTATTTCAGTGGCACCAGGATGTCATCTCTAGCTGTTATGCAGACTTATAGCTTCCCCTATAATGTGCAATGAAATGCATATTAGGATCCCCCAATTTGCTTTCCAAGTCCCCACTTGCCTCACTTCCAATAAATTCACTTCAGCCAAAACCGTTCTGAAGTAGATATAAATTACAAAATGAACTTTGCTGTACATGCCAACACCTCTCTCTTCTGTGGCAGAGATTTTTGAGGACTGTCTTTGGTTCTCTTCCTCTGAGGATTTTTCTCATCATTTAGGTATTAAAACCTCCCTGCATAACATTTCTGTCAAGAGTCCAATGGCCGCCACCGATGGATTCCTATTACACCCTCGAGCTGGTTTTCCAATTAACTGTAATGCTGCTTGCATCATCTCACAATTTCTTGTGATATGCATCTCACCCCCTGGCATTTCTTCACTAAAATTAAGTGCTCTGAGACAGCACAAAGACACTGTGTGGATAAAACCTCACCGCCTCTTTGCAGTGTCACTGGTAACTTGCTCCTGATTCTCAGAGTGAGAATAACGTGCAGTACTCTTGCATGATACAAGAAAGGCAGCTGGGACAGGCAGAGAACCAGTCTGCTCCTCTCAGACACTGGCCCCTCCTGCCTGCTGCTTCTAGTTCTCACTAGCAGAAACCTTCCCCCACGTCTGGCTTTGAAGCAAATCTCCAGGGATATAGCCTCACACCTGTAATCAAACGCCTATTGAAAATGAAGATTCAGGATAAAGATGTAGTAGTATACAAGAATCGGCCTTTGATCTCTAGAAATTTCTCAGAATTGAAGAATATAAAGTCTAACATTTTCAAACATTATGAAAATCTGAGAAGGAACCTAACACCCCTGGTTTTAAGGCCAGTGGCAGATATTTGGCTACCTATTCCCCCCTCATGTGAGAAAAAAAAATTTGCTGTGGTGCAGCACAGGCTCTGGACATTCCCACACTTTAAGCTTTCTCTGGGAAGCTCAGAAATACTATTTTGGTTGCTCTGAGAGGAACAAGGTGTCCAGATCACTCTTTGCGCGACAGCTGTCTTTCCACTCCAACACGTGACGATGCTGTGGCAGGGGCCCGGGCATTTTATGGAGCAAGAGCCTGTGCACATCTAGCACAGGGAGAGCTTGAGTGTGAAAAAAGCAGGTGATTCTCTTGAGGCTATTGATTGCCAGGGTCATTCAGATGGCCCTTGGGCTGCTGTCATTTATGCCAGAAAACAGTCTTGGATTAGAAAGATACAGAGGGAACTGAAACAACTTTTCATTCTTCTCTTCAGATGTGTTCTTCTCTAGCAAAAGCAACATTCCTGTGCTAGGCTCAACAGCAGAAAAGCAAAAATAGAATAGTTTGCTTATTCAGTCGATATTGCTCAATATGTAAACATATACATTTGTTTCCTTTCCACTGTGTTCCCACATTGTCCTTCCTCTCTTTGATAGATATTTCAGTTTTCCTGAATCCGCATGCATCCAGTTTATTTTCTTCTACCTGAGTAAGCACTGAAATTTTATCTCTTCACCCCTACTTTCACCAAGACCCCAGAAATATTTCAGTCTTACTAGTTTTGCCTTGAAGAACTGGTATTTCAAAGCAGATTCAATAAATACTTAACAAAAACAAGCATGACCATAAGCTGTACAACACCTTTTTTAAAGCTTTTACAAAAGTGCCTGTATACATTTCTGCTGTTGGTAGAAAAGGTCCTGGAAGCAGGAAGAGAAGACAGTACTGTAGTTCCATTGTTATCCAGTCTCCTGTAGAAGCCCCTCAACATCAGTGTTGTCCTTTTTGCCCAGAAGTAGAGGCCTGCATTGCAGTGCATCAAAAACTGCAACTGAGCATTAGCAGATAGACTTGGCCAGCCACACTAGGGCTGAAGTTTGTTACTAGTTTTGTCAGCATGCTTTGCAGTATACTACAGTAGACTTCTGATATTGCCATTAGCAGTCAAACTTTTATAAACTGAAAGATATTGTTGATAGAATATGTAACCTGAGAATAGTCCAAATTCAAAAATGCACCAATTTCAGAAACCATAGTGGCACTTTACACACAGCTACAAGTTACAGTGCTCAGTTACACTCACTGCTTTCAGAATCGAACTGCTGGGAACCACAAGGAATGACTGATACTCACACAGATCTGCCTTTCTCAGATTTTTCATCCTTATGATTTTTACAGAAAGGGAGCTGCAAGGACATTCTTCATTCTGCAAGAAAATGACAAAATGATCACCTGCATGAGTATTAAATTGTTTGTGCTTTATAAAATATGCCCTCCCATAAGTGCAGGTTGCAATTCTCAAAGCAGTGCAGCAATATTGGAATATGCACTACTCGCACTGCTTTGAAATGTAAACTATGTCCTTACAGAGTTCTAAAAAGGGACAGAGAAGGAAATATTCCTCTGTCTATGGATGCTATTGATGGGAGAAAGCATATAACAAAACAGTTTTAAGTAAAATTGATGTTTGGTTGATTCTTTATTAATAATGAAGCTGAAAAAATGAGCTAGCAAAAAGCGAGTGTGCATGAGAAGCCCCTTCTTGAAACATCTGTACACAAATGCAGAATAGGTTATTAATTCTGATGAAGAGCTGGAATTTTCCATGGAAAACAAATACTTTCTTCAGCTCATTTTATTTAATTAAAAATCCAATTTTCCATTTAAAATCTTTCTTAGGAACACATTTTTGACAGCTGTCGGAAATGGTGGAGAACAAATACATGAACAATGTGAGGCGCTCAAACATCGTGGTGAGGAAGAGGAGAATGAACAGGATATAAAGAACTGATAGGAAACGAAACAGTCTTTGGTAATTTAGGTGATCACAATGCTGCAGATTTCAATGTCTTGATTATATTGAAAAGCATCATGACTAGTCACATGAAGGTAAATGAAACTATTCACTGAGTCAGATACTACCAGCACAAACACAGCAGAATCTAAACAGAATAAAGCAGTTTGTGAAGAGATGTTAATGAACTTCACTATCCATACCAGACTTTAGATATTCACAGAAAAATCATTGGTTGAAGTGTCAAACACAGAAGGAAAGACAAATAACTAGACACAATCCAAACAAGTTATTAATTCTTGCGGGTTTGACAATCTGAAACTTTAGCTATTGCTTCACTGGAAGCAATTGCCTAATCTCTCTCCCACTCTTTGTCTAACAAAATTGACTCCATTAAATCCCTCTAGGGAGATTATGTTGTTCCTCTTCTTTTTCCACTCAGGAACTGACCCAACCGAGAAGTTAGATACAAACTCCTCTTTCACCCTTGAATTCAGATAAGCAGACCTGAATCCATAGTTCATGTCTCACTCCAAAACAGAGGGACATATTTTAATGTCTTCTGCCTGGATCCAGATTTTGGCTTAAGTAGTCCTCCTGCCCACCTTCACCAATGACACTTCTAGTTTTACTCTGCCTCAGTTAAGTCGTTTCAGTGTTGGGGGGGCAGGGTGGCTAGCAGACGGCATGGCCCCATTTCTTGCTTTGCGGATACGGTTTCCACACTAAGGCTGTTGCTATGCGCTGCTCAGTAGTCTCTCCTCCTTTCAAAAGGATAACCCTGTAGATCCTTAGTGCTTCTTTAGGCAGTCTGGTTAGACGTTCACTCTGTTTATTTGTTAAGCCATGGGGGGTCCCACATTTGAGGTCTCTGAGCACCTCACAGACATCAATGCACACTTATGATAACACACATCCCTCCAAGATGGAGAAGCTCTCTAACCTCCATTTCACAGCTGGGGAATGGAGGCACAAAGTGATTAAATAAATTGCTCATAGTCAAATAGTATGTTAGTTTCAGAGTGGAGAAGAGGCAGTGCATGAGACTCCTGGGAGCCCAAGAGAGAGTTTTAGGGCTTTTCCTGCCTGGTTCCGATCCAGGAGGACCCAAAACTTTCTCAAAGACTCTGAATTAGGGAAGTTCAAGCTTTTCTTCAGTATCAGCCGTGCACAAACGTCAAACTAGGACAATCTTTCTGATTAATTGCTGTTGTTGGTCGGTGACTTTCCTATGTATGCCACTACCAGGTGGCTGCTAGCACAGCTACACGGGCACATACTCATAGCTGGCAAATGCTATGCTGATGAAGAGCCCTCTTAAAGATCATTGTGTATAATACTTGCACCTAGTCACATATTCAGCCCAAGTCCTCAGCAAGTTCCTGTGAGGTACCTCAGACTGCTTCACAACCTCCATGTGGATCACCTACTATAGCTGAACTTCCCTTCACCAGCACAATGCCTCTGCAGGGCAGTCAATATCAGAAAAGTTATCAGTCTGCCTGATGTACATATATACATATATCAAGGTGGACTAACAGCTCCCAAGTCCTCTTCTAGGCACCAGAATCACAATCTCAAACCCACCTCAGGGTGTCTTTAGCTTCTAATGAGCTATGGTCTGAATTCCCTCCATCTTACCTCACGAACACTCCAGCGTGATCCCATCGTGCTCCCAGTGGCATGCAAGTCAAACAGAGATGTCCCTTTGGTATCAGATGTAACAGCTGGCAGTGACTCATGAAGACTCACGAAACTTTAAGGAGGCACCTGTTGAGGAGCAAGAGGCTTGCGCACGCCCCACCTTCTCTACTGTTTGCAAGGGAAAGTATGAAGAGACAAAATTGCGGGGGGGGAGGAATTTTGCTGAGGTTATTTGCTAGCTACACACCAGAGACGTGTTGAGGGAAGATTGTACACACCAAGGTACAAAGAGTTATTAACAAGCCAAGATAAGGATGACAATACATAGCACTTATGCGTGGATACCTGTGAGCTTGTAGTCTAAGATTCAGAAATCAGAGGAAATAATAGCAGGTAAATGTAAGGTGGAACAAAACAGCAGCTCTATAGCAGTCCAATCAACAGCCAAAAGGACTGCAGACAAAATAACTTTGAAAGACTTCCACTTCAATCACATTTTTTCTTTTTTCCTTTTCTTGTCGGGGAAGGAGGTTACTAGCTTTTAGATATTTCCCCACATTTACTTCTATATTTATCAGTTTGAATGTAATTTTATTCTACTTTCAGAACCCTTTCACAAACACAGAACTTGATCACAGAAGCAAAAAAAAAAAAGTAAATCAAAGCAAATATTGATTCCTCTCAAATGCTACTATCTAGATGTTCTAAACATGATTCAGTGTCATTAAACTATGATATAAAAATGATGCCAACTTTTTTCATTTCCTAGCAGAAAACTGTGCAACTGTAGATTAGCAGGTGAATAGCCACTTCCACAGATCCAGTTACTAACATGCCCAGATGTCTCAGATATAAAACGACTAATTGAGAACTGCTGGAGGTAATGCTATGTTGTGACAGTTCACACACTGTCTTTCCCTTCTACACATGAGGAAAACGCATAATTAAAACGAGTCAGCTCTGATCTTACAACTTTTCACTGAAAGTTCAAAACCATTCTGCCTGGTGAGAGGTCTTCAGCATCATATTAACATTCTTTCAACCCTATTTTCTTTCTGAAGCACTCCTGCCTGAAACTAAGTCCTCCCACAATGTGCAGTAAGAAATAAGCATTACCAGCCTCAATAAAGGGGAAAACCAAGTAAAATTCTGTGGACAGAATTTTACAGAAAACCTGACTAAATAACGCAAAGGTCCTTGCTAAACTGTAATGAAGCCAAGGAGTAACATCTTTCTCTCTTAGGAAAAAGCCTGAAGAATTACTGCTCTAAGCTTCAGTCAGTAAATCATTATGCAGAAGAGGTGACTACAAACTCCTTGGCCTCTCACAATGTGTTTGTAATTCAGAAGCCTTTAATGTTATGAGTAAGAAGAGAAGGACAAGCATGCTATGCAGAGTTTTGTATGCTACAGAGTATAAGGCAGTACGTACATGACTCTGGACGCCAAGCATCTTTGGGTTAGGAAACTACACTCACCACCCCCGATTAAACACCTCTGATTAAAGAGATGTTCCTGAAATGACACAGAGTAACAATATTCCTGTTGGTGTTGCTTCTGGGAAAAAAGACCCTGAACTGGACAACCAGCCTTGGCTATTTGTCCCAAAACAGAAAACCTGACTTGGAAGTGGATAAACCCAGACTGTTCTGTTAGCTTCTGTAGTGGCTGAACTGATGGCTCCTGAGCCATCTCCCTTGGGGATGTTTGGTTCAATAATGAAGGGCTCCAGTAGCATCCAGACCTTGGAAGATGATGTTTGCCTACAGGAAAAAAAAAATCCTTTAACTGAACACCACTGAAGACAGCCTGGTTAAAGTGAGGAAGGAGAAAGGGGTGGCTGGCACCCCAAAAGACAGCTGAGAAGCAAATACTTCTTGAATACCTCAAGGAAAGAAAAAAGCTGGACCATCCTCCAGCCCTCTATCACCTTTCTTGCTCCAAGGGAACTCTTAGACGTTGTTGGAGTTTCCTCCACAGTTAGCGCTGGACAGCATCAAGCTGGAGGGAGCCCCAGTCTTAGACACTGACTGTAAAGTGCCCCTGATATAGGAGGACCTAGCAGTAGGTCCTAGCAGCAGGAACCCAGGACCACAGAACATCTAAAACATACAGGAAAGTGAGTATGAGTAACCCTGTTATTAAGGTGACCCAAAACACAGTAGTGGTGTCTGAGAAACTACCATTTCTGGCTCCACTCAGGTTGTCTGAAATTTAGGATGTATCATAAATTCTGATAAGGACATTCAAAAAAAAGGACCAAGCTGCAGGATCCTTGAAGAACTGTTTCCCTTTTCTAAGGAACACGTTTTCTGACCAGCCTGAAGCTGCTAAGACCAGAAAGGAACATATGCTTACTACAAAAAAGTCCAGAGGCTAATTCAAGCAGAGCATCTAACAGGATAAAATCCTGACAAAAAAGTCCCTAACTAGGAGCAACAGTCAAAAACTGAAACTGAACCACAGTACACAAGTGAGCCCACAGACTTGTCAAAGCTGATGCAATACTCAGATCTCTGCAATTACGGGACTCACTCTGACAAACACGATGACAGCCTGACAGGCAATAAGAATTCAGTGATGACACCCATTTTGACAGTTCAGTTATCTTATTTTGAGCTCAGTGGTGACTTTTCAGATAAAACAGCTGACAAGCTTTTAGAAGATAAGGGTGAAACTGTCTACGCTCCTTGTGGGGAAATTTGTGGAGAGAAAGGACTCGTCTATAGCTATTGCCTACTTACTTTAGGCCAGGCTATGCAAAGAGGTGAGGGATCCCTGTGAGTATCATCCTGGCTGGCATCCAGCAAATTCTCAGCTGCCAGCTCCTGCTTATCTTTTCATAATGTTTCTGTAGCCTGTGACGAAAAAGAGAGCTAAAAGCAACTTCTTAGCCACCTCTAGTTCTGGAAAAGCTTATCTGTGGTTCTCTAGCAACTTGCCTACAAGGAATAATTCACACCAGATACAGAAGCCACACTTCTAACTCTTCTGGACTTTTCTTGACCTTTACTGTGTTTAAGTAGATTCTCTTCTCCCTTCCTATCTGAAAAAACAGCTCCAGAACACCTGATTTTTTTTGAACGTTAATATTTTAACGTTAATATTTTTGATAATATCTGAAGAACTGTCCAAAGGGGAGGTGGATTTACTTATAAGTTTCTCATTAGCTGGAGAGGAAGAAATGTAATACATTTCTTCTACAATACATCTACACTGTTATATGTCCATGTTAGTTTATCCACATCAGTGCTTTGGTGGACAAGACTTTTGCTTCTTGGGAATGAAATACAATTGTTTCCTGAGCTACAAACTGGTCTCCTGTACAACTTGCAGAGGTGTACTGCCTTTTACTTGTGCTTTCTTCACCAAGTCCCCTTTATCTATCGGATATGTGCACACATCATTTAGTACATTCCGAGGAAATGCTTTGGGCATTTCTTCTGCTACTCTTTGGCAACTGCATTGACTTTGGAGTGCTGTTATGTTTTGTGCTATGCTATGTAAATCAGCTTTTTCTCCAAAGCCGCTGCACTTCAATGTATTCAGCAAACAAGTAGTTAGACTGTGGCAATCACATCGTCTTAACTTGTACTAACTTACCTAGCAGCTATATTTTGCATTATATGGTTATTCAACAGCTACTACGATGCTGTGAAAAGACTATTGGTATCTTATTCATTTTCTTTAGTGTGCTTCTGTCTGTGCAATTACAATATATCTTGCAATACCCCCTCACATGCTATTTTTTTCAGTAATATTTAAATTATTGAAGCAGAATTGCATTTCATACAGGCAACTGCAGCACACACACATGCAGAATGAGACACAACACAGTTAACTATGAGCAGAAATGGCAACGGTGCTTTAAAACAAATACATTAGTTTAATTTAATTAATAAGAATAGACGTCACTGAAGAACCAAAGTCCGCCATCCATACATCCCCGTCATCTAACATGACAAAAGTCTGAAATATTCACTATCCTTGATAAGACATGACAATTCATGACAAAAAAGCAACTGGGAAACAGAACATTTTTAAAGGTAGAATTTCATTTAATTCTGGTTATTAAAACCAAATAAAACAATTTTAATTGATACTGTATGATCACCACCTTCTGCATCTGAAGAGGGCTTCATGAATTGGCTACCAAGGGTCCCAGCGAAATGACACAATATTTTGCAGATGAAAGAAAACTAGCCACCAAGACAATAAGAGATCGCAATGAGGGAGTTAAAATTATTTTCTTATCACGCACAGCTGAATATTTGCATTTTGTGCATCACAATGAGATGTGGTTTAATAACATAAGATTAGTTCATTTAATATTGAAATTACTGATCAAAAATCAACTGCTCACTAAATTGAATCATATGACTTTAAAGTGAATACTTCAAGCTGTCTTCACTGAGAAGGCTGCTTTGTTAGAAAGAGATGGCACCCACCAAGAACACTGGAGTAGCTAATGCATTTGATATATTATTCTGGCCTGTCACGATAAACACTTAGTAAGACAGAGAAAAATGCTATTCAAGCAGAGAGGGCTGTGGCTGTGACACTGGCTGGCTCTGAGCTTGTTTCTTCCGTGCCACTGCTGCGCGCAAGGCCTGAAGAATCATGTTCTCGTTATTCATGATGTTGTAATTAGTCAGCTTCAGGAGCTTGTTGAAATCTTCTGCTTTCAGTGAGACCTCCCTAGTTGAATACGGAGAGCAGAAACTGGAGATATCAACCTTGCCCTGGTCCATTTCCGCAGCGTTGCGTGACATGCCTAACGAAAGAAAGAGGCAGTAAATTTCACTGCTGAGGTGTTTGTACAGTCCCAGGGAATTATTGTACCCTGACAGACTATGCCAAGAATAGAGAGATCACAAATGGGATTGCTATGAAGATATGTGCTATATTTTGATCTCTGAAAATCGACTTCTGAGCAAGCCAAAAAAAAAAAAAGGTGGCATTAAAAGAGATTCCACTGAAATTAACATCTTCTACTGTCAGTCACGGCATGTCATTCTGTGAGT